AGTTCTGAACTAGTTTCGAACTATTCTGTGGGAATAGAGAATTACTGGGCTTGTTGTCGTTAGCATTTTAATTAATCTTAATTGAAGTAAAATTTAAAATTATCAATTTCTCTGTGATACAACTGGAATTTGAGAGATTTAAAAAACGGCATGGCAGATTTAACAAGAGAAGACCTGCTTGGTGAAATATCATAAAGTACTAAGTTTTGACTTTTTAAGAGCTGGAAGGTTTCATCACCTTGCCTTTAGAGGAAGCATACTGTACTCTGCTATAGTAGCAGAGGGGGCAAATAAGTGGAATGTTGATAACTCTAAGCTAACAAGTGACTTGAAATTACAGGAGTATATAAGATTAATATTGGTAATAATATGATTGAACCAAATTTATTAAAATTATCAACACTTGCCAAGGCCAGTTCAACCATATGAGTGAATTGATCGACCGCCTTGGGGCAGGATCTGAGGGGGGCTTGGACGGGGACCTAGAGAGAGAGGGCGCGGGGAAGCCTCGTCTACCGATAAGAACAGGGCAGTCTAGAACTAGGGCAATTTTTTTGAGAAAGGAAGGATACCTGTAAGGTAGACTTTAGTTTAGGTTCCAAATGAATGCAAGTTGTTGTGATCTCTGTTGATAGTTGTATTATGTCTATCCAAGAGAAAACAGCAAATCCACAAAATAATTTATTTTTTTAAAGTTTTTAGTTTTGTACAGATTTGTAGTAGAGTTTTTTCTCGCATCACACTCTCCTAGCACTCCAAAAACTAATGAGCCGGCCCTGCCACTTGTTTGTAAATTTCATTTACTCCTACTCGTATAATCAGCTCAAGATCTTCATGTATACTTATTTTTTTCTAGAGTAATCTTTATCGTCAGCTATTTTATGAATGTGTGTAAGAAACGCCGCGATGAACGGTTAAAATTCAGATATCATATATGAGGAGATTGAAAACTCTGGAAAGGCCCAAAATGGCAGTCACAAAACCCAGGTTCTCAGCTATGAACAGCTGAATGACGCCATTTATTCTATAAACACGAATGCGCTATCAAATTCAAAATTTTGATTCGCTCTCAGAACCAGAACTGTTATAACCAGTTCAGCACGAGTTTGAAATCAATTCGGAATTTGAGAACTGCCAGTTACGGAATCAGTTCCATTTTCATCTGCGGAGGCCCTGTTCAGTTCAGAACTAATCATTGGTTTGTTGGAAGAAAGATTCTGTTGATTTGTGTATAAAGGTCTTTCTTTTTGGGCTAAGGCTGTATCTATACCTTTTGAACACACTTTTCCTATAAGCCCTTAAAGCCACAACGTCAACGTGGTGTATCTATAATGTCGAAGGAGTCTACACATTTGGGTTTTATTATTTGCTAGACTTACAAAACTGGTAGTTAAATATTGCTTGATAGTCTAAAATATCAACTAAAATAAAATGAATGAAAACGTAGTAAAAACTCATGGGTCATGCTTTTACCGTTTGTGCATTATTACAAGGTATTTGCGTCATGTTAGTCGAAATATCAGTATAGTTGGCCATTCATCCTTGGTTTTAATAATAATAAATATAGTGAATGGGTATTTGCAAATAATTTTGGCGTCAAAGGTTATGTGCCATATTCTGGCTTTTACCGTACAGCACTCAGACTATATGTGAGTAAGGCGAGGACAACATCAGCCTTTATCCCTTTCTGTTCTCCTAACGTATTCCCTGTGTGAGCATGGGATTTGAAGACGTTACTCAACAGGGAGGAGGCTACAAGGAAGACCCCTATTAGCTCTTCTCATTTATTTATGAGACCTTCCAGAGCCCGCATGGTTCACTCAAAGCAATTGCCCCTCATGAATCTATGATACGATTTTACAAAAATTAGTTTTGAGTTTAGTTTGGATACCCAACACATTTGACATAATACGTAGTGAAATAATTTGATACGCAGCATCCAGACACCTATACCGGATGATACAAGTCTGGAATATGTATACAATCTTTAATATCAATTTTTTTTATATAAATGGATATCAGAATTTTTTTAAGCTTGCAATTACAAATAGGTACCTTATAAAATTTTTATACATTTGAGTTTTTAAGGTCAAAATTAGGTATCAAATGTTGATTTATTCTAGTTGGAATTTGAAAAATCTACTTTCCACGTTGAGCCAAGTTGCATCGTGGGAAGAAGCCATACATGTACTTGTTGGCTCTTATTGGTGGGTTCTAGTTGTTCTCTCTTTCCAACCTTGTTTATCTTCAGGTTACATCCATATACAGATGTGATGGGCATACGTTTTCACCTCGGTCTTTTCGAAGCACTTTTGTACTATGTGGGCCTGATGGAGCCAATAAGCAGAAACGTACGTCGCCCGGGTTATCAATCCTTCTATTTTGCTTCTCTTTCTTTATTGCAGACATGCCTACGATTGACCTTTGTTTTTTATCTAAGCTGCCTCGAGACTACTTGACTTCCTTAATACAGTTTACGTACATAAATAAAGTTTCTCTGGCTCCATTATTTAACGACAGGGGCATTGCGTTTTTTTTTGTGACATTGTGTAGGTTTTTCTACAAAGTGAAGCTGTTGTACACTTGTTGTGTACTCGTTCCGTAGCTGTACGCGTTGCCTAAACGTCGTGATGCTATCAATGTTTGGCTCTGATGTGATGTAACATCTTCCTCCCAGATGGCATTATTGGAGGTCTAAGCTGTAATATGTATATATAGCTGGAACGAAACTGCTGTGCATATGTGCATAGTGAGGATTCGTGTGCTAATAATCATTGGTTTCTTGTCTCAAATACACTTACTTGAGCTTTACTTGTTCTTTCTATTCAACCTGGAAATTACATATGCAAGTTTTCTTAATTTCAAAAAAGAGCAATAATAAAAGAAAATCCCTGGTTGGTGAAATATATTAAAACTGAGAAAATATGAAACATACAGGAATATTGATGAAACGTTAAAAGTTACTACATTTCACATTAGGTTTTATTTCCAGCCAAGTAAATTTTGTAGAAATCTATTTTACTATGTGAATTAGAAAATACAAATCAGCGCCTGGATATGAGCCAGAGGGAAAATGTTCTGTATGTGATGTGGCTTTATTACTCACAACGCGGGTGCGGTGCTGATTTCCCGTAATGGTTATCAAAGTTTTTGAGAGAAACGGGGAAAATCGTAATGTACAACTTTGAACATAACCTCTCTTCAGAAAAGTCAACACAAATAACCCGTCTGGCACAGCTAATAAATCATGGACATCGTATCCAGTAATAATTTTCTCACATAGCAAATGACACTGATTCTGTACACATGCAGAGCAATGCACACAATCATCCAGATGTGACCTTGCTACTCTGATGCTCAACCACATCTCAAAGGGTATACTCTACAGGCTATTTCGGTATTCTGCATGGTGGGGAAACCGCAGCTTGTCGTTGAGTCATCCCTCTATAGATGGACGCTTTTGATGATGCTCACAGCGCGCATAGTGCGCAAATGCCGCATATATTATTTGCACACTAGGAACTATCTAGATAGCAAGTTGACATTTTGTTGTTTCTTTTTTGACGTTTTATATGCTTGTTCACGTAATAGCCCTGCGGTACATACTTAAAAAGATCGCCGTCGTTCAATGTAATCTCCTTCATACATAATTTTATAGGTTTGCTCTCATTTTGCTTATGTTGGACATAGATATATTAATTATATGATCAAACAATAAAAATATCTAGAGCGTTGACCTTCAGCTATGTTCACTCATGACGTCATAGGCTATGACACACAAATTCGAATAGGTCTTCTAAGAATAACAGTTACATATGAGTAAATATAGAATTGAATTTCAGGAGCTCACTCAATGAAATTAAAGACCAATTTATCAAACAAGAAAGCTATAAACAATATTAGTGATAGTGACATGTCCTGTGCAGAGCCAAATATGATACTGGTTTCATGGACCAGGACCATTAGCATTCTTCACATGCTACGAGTGTATCAAATTATAACATTTCGTGGGACATCACTTTGTTGGTTTTTTTGCTCTTGTACTTTTCGTATCTAACAACGATCTAAATTCCACTTTATAACCCGAAATTTTAAATAAGATTAGAGTTAGTTTTTGATACACTTTAAATTTTTGAGTTCCTTGGTAGCTGTAAGGTTTATTCATTTACTAACATGTTCCACCAGAAAAGACCCTATTTAATGGAAAGCCGTGGCTGCACGAAAATGAGTGTATGTACCATAGCGCATACAGTGGCCTTTAAAAAGGCCCCCTCCACCTAACTGTTGAGTTAGCAAGATAATATTTGGGGATGAATACGATAGCCCACTTTAAATAAACTTATGAGAAAAGCATTGTGTATGTATCGACCACCGTCTTGTGGTGTTAGCGTTGCCGCCTCTCCGACTGTTACCTTTTCGTGATTGAGAAATTCGGGGAACACGAAATCTTAAGCAGATCTAAAGATCATAATAGTGTAGAGTCAAGGGTATTTTTTTCTTGAAAGGCTGATGTTATGGATGTGAAGGTGGACGTTGTATGTAAATTCAGCATAGGGTTGGTCATCTTCTTGAAGAATCCCTAGGTGTACTAATCATTTGATCAAAGTTCATATTTTCAAAATTGTGCCACTTTGTGAGAAGATCAGATTGAATCTGCTTGACACCGTTTCTTTAAATGCAACACAATAATCCTCGCATGTAACAGATAGCTAAGGTATATGGACTTTCTCAATATATCTCATCCCCAGTCAAACTCATTTTATTTAACTATCACATTCATTTGTTATACAGAGTAACAATTAATCTGAAAAAGAAACATGTTTAACATAGGTCATTTGCTATCGATTATACTTTTGATAAATATGCATTTCTCGCACCGCTTCCAACAATATGTATTATACATTGTTATAAACACAAATCATGCTAAGGTTTCTTATCACCTAATAGCCTTGCACTATAACTGTATTGAACTTATCTAATCTCTGCCTACTCTGTTTTACGGTATGCATAACGCTAGCCAGTATGAACCAATTCGTGTCAAAAGTTATATAGAGTTCCTCACATGGTACAACAAAAATGTTCAATTGTTGTGTACTAGTGGTGTTAGTTCTAACTTTGTTGTGTTGTCTTGTTTGTGTCGGTTGTAATGTGCAAAGTTATGAGGAATTTGAGAGGAATTTGATACATCAGTTGAAGCTGCAGGCCAATTTGGCGCGGACTAGGTGTAATAAAGAGGGATATGTTCTTATTTACGGGAAATGCAGGGAGGTTTTTCCAGAATAGGTTAGTATTCATTTTGTTATGCTTCACAAGTTCATATATGTTTTTCCGTTCTCAACATGAGAGACTGGTTAAAGCAACTTATGTGTCGTTCTTTCATTCATACAACCAACTTCAACCCGCTTTAACCAAATGTTCGTCACATCCTTTCTATGGTGGCTGACGTCACAGCAAAACCTGGTTAGCAGCGGTAATTGATGAATTTAAAAACGTACTATGGAATATGTTTAGCGATCGGTTAAGGGGGAAATAGTTGATCATTTAGCGTGTCTTCTGCGACGACGCGTCTGGGCGTATGAGTCGTGTCAACCTAAAATACAATCATTTCTTTTGTTTCTGGGTATTTTTGCTTTTTACTTGTTCAACCAAACATCGGTGGGTGCAAATAGTGGATGGAAGAGGGAGTTTAATTATATGATTGACAAAAATGAGCGAGATAGGAGACAGTCTCTTCTATAGTAAAACTAAGTTGAACAACCCCAAAGTCGAAGAGTAACCCGTGCAGCCTACGACGCTGCGAGTGATTCTTTTTTGTGAGCTATAATCAAAGAGGTACATCAGCGGGTAAAAGAAAAGATAAACCATACTCAAGGAATAGGGAGAGAGAAGAGGGTGATAAACTTCAGCTACTTAAGGAAACAGATGGGTTAAACAGCCCATTTAAAATCAGTGAGACCCAAAAAAGTCAAGAACATAAAAGAAGAAAATAAAAAACACAAATGATCATTTTTCAAGAATAGAAATATGTTTATAACAAAGTACAAAGCAAAAAGAGAGATCTTTAGATATCAGTGCTAAAACTTCCAACGTAAATGTGTCAAAAACTCAGACATTAGAAAACAATGAAGGAGGTTAAGGTTAGCGACACTTCGCCTGTTTTGTACTTTTGTACGAAATAAAGCCCAGTTATTATTATTATCATTATTTTTATTATTATTATTATTAATAATAATATTACTATTATTATTATAGATTCAAGTAGAAAATAAATAACATTAATGAACAATTTGCAAGAATATAAACATATTGTAACAAAGGACCAAGTAAAAGGAGAGATTTTTAGTTATCATTGCTAAACCTTTCAACGTAAATGTGGGAAATAGTGAAAATCATTAACCAATTCGTACCTTGTTGAACTTACTTTTTACTTGAATTTGCATTTTAGTTTCTACATAGTACATGGAAATACTTGTACATAGGATTACACAGAATTATTGTATACTTAGTGACATTAGAAGTGTTACACCCAGAAAAATAATTTCTTCAACTTGTTTTTCTGGAAACATGATGACTATTTGATGCATGCTGTGGCAACAATATCAACGATTTATCTTTGTCTTTGTTTACCTTTGTTAAAATATTATCTCTTAGTTTTCGTGAAGAAAGCAGTTTCTGAGTGCTGAGTAGTACGGACATTTATAGTTATTGCCCTTTCATTTACTTGTGCTAAGTACAACAAACTGTATCGAGTTCGAAGACTTCCAAATTATCACCATGTCAGCGACTTTGACAATGGCAGAATTATTGCCTATCGAGACGTTGGTTTGTCCTATCGCGAAATTGGCCGCCATGTTAATTGTACTGTAATGTACAATTGTACTGTAAAGGTTTGGGAGGCTGTTGCATATTTTTGTTCAAGGCAATATGACTGCTGCGAGTTATGTTGATAGTGTCCTACAAACCCCTTTACTGCCGTATTTAGAGGACCATCCACACGTCCTTTTTCAGCAAGACAACACATGTCCCCATATTGCTCAACGCAAAACGGACTTTTTTCAGGAAGCAGCCGTTAATCTTTTGCCGTGGCCACCCCATTCACCGGATTTATATCCCAACGAACATGTGTGGGATATGATGGGGGAGACTATCCTCTTTGCACCATCCGCCACAGGCTCTGTCACAGCTATTCCATGACGTTCGAGTTGCTTGGAATGCGGTGCCACAACCAGACATCGATCATCTCATTTTGTCGATGCCTAGACGTATACAGGAGTGTATTCAGCTGCGGGGTCGCTCAACACATTAGTAATTTTTTTTCTTATTACTTGTCAATTAAATTTAGTGAGAATGTTATCATTTTATTCTTGATATAAGACTACCTCATTCCCAAAAAAAATCAAGTTGTAGAATTTTTTTTTTAGGATGTAACACTTCCAACGTCACTGAGTATATTTTATGTATTTCGTGATCTTTTATTCTAATAGTCCCAAAACCAGAAATCTCTCTCGATCAAAAAAACTACATAAAAACTTAAGACGCGTTGGAATCGGTATTTGAGTAGTACCTAACTAAGCTCATAGAGTTGTATTAGAGCCGCTATATTAAAAAAACAGCCAGTATAGGATGAAGTGTATACGTACCTCTCATAAAAACTTTTCTGTTTATATTACTAACTTCGTCCTTTAAAGAGGGGCTCAAGGAGTATATGGGTCCGTCAATAGCCCCAGAGGTAATCTAGCTACTCATTCAAATCCACTTCTGATTTCGGCACAGTCATCGCGCTCTGCAATGAATGGAGACGGTTCGCTTGCACCACATGATTGATCACGTATTACCATATTCATTCTCTGGTTATTGGTTATGACGTAACAGAATTAATTGGCGCCAACTATTCTTAATCAGGTTAAATAATGAATGAATTGATACCTCGTCTCATGTGAACGTACCCTTCCGTCAGAGTTGTCCGTAGGACCTTTGCTCTACATTAAAGTACTGTTCAGTAAACATGATAGCTTCGTTTGTCCACCTACCAGAAAAAATAATATTGGATGAATCGAAGAAGGAGGAGGCGGTGTAAATTTTTAATTTTCACATTATAAGATAAGAATAAGATGAAACACTTGCACAACTTGCTTGGAAAAAAGACTGTGTCTCTGTGTATGGTGTACCTGAAGTCACTTGAAATAGCATAAAAACCTTTGGTCGGCGCGTCCTTTGTAATTTCATGACGTATCATAGGCGTGCGGCATTTATTTAGAACGATAATAATAATGTTTTTATATCACAATAAATGGATTTTACTATCTTCTTATTTTTTTGATTTGGGATAAAAAATACTTATATTGGGAGTTTAATTTATGTTGACTGAAAGTTAAGAAATGGAAACATTACAGAATTCCAACGTTTGACATAGGCAAATATTTACATAGCAGGTAGGTATATATATAAAAAGGTATATAAAGACTTACATTATAGGTATTTATATATCATCCTCGCCTCCGGAGCTGTCGCTAGAGTCATCTTGTAGAGGAATTACAACGGGATTTACAGGAGGCAAAAACAATATTCATTTTCTTTTTCAATAATATGCCTAGAACACTGCTTCCATAGGTCTGTGGCAGCAATACGAGATACTGCATCTCTTATTGTGGCCAATAGCGATTCACTTAATTGAGGGGTCTGATTATGTTTTCTTACTTTTTTTTTTAAAGCAGCCCAGACCAACTCAATCGGGTTAAAAATGCAATAATAGGGAGGTAGACGTAATACTTCATGGCCATTTTGCTGAAGCAGATTGTCAACAACATACTCTTTTTCAAATTTTTGTCTTTTAATAAGATCCAATAATATGGCTTTGGTTGATTTTTGTGGTATTTCCATTCCCTTATCCTTCATAAAATCAATAATGTCTTATTTTTTGTGCCTGTATTCGGAATTTTGTTTTTCTGTCGGGAATGGTATGGCGCATTGTCCATAATAATCACTGAATTTGGGGAAATGTTTGGTATTAACTGCTGCTCTATCCACTTTTCAAATAAGTCGGAGGTCATGTCCTCATGATAGTCGGCACATGATTCTTTGATATTTTTGGCAGATAACAGCAAGGCATTAGGTATAAATCCATTTTCACTGCCAGCATGGAGAATAATGATTCGTTTTCCACGGTTGCATGGTGCATTTAAAATGCACTTGTTGCTGTCGTCAACCCAGCCGTACTGCACAACATCATGGGTATCATACCACGTTTCATCCAGGTAAATCAGATTTCTTTTCTGCTTTCTATAGATTTTAACTTTGTGCAAAAATTCTTGGCGCAATTCAACGATTCGAGACGACTCCATAATCACCATTCTTTTGTCTAATTTTTTGTATTGAAAACCACACAGTTTTACAATACAGTGCAGTGAGTCTAAGCATTTGTAATTATAAAAATCTTCAGGATAATCTTTTAATTTATCCCGTATCATTTCCAACGTGGGCACCAAATTTTCTTTATAAAATCCATATATTATACGACGAATATCTTCCTGAAAACCCACGTCTATTCTTTTTAATTTTTGCCCTATGCGCTTTCTGTGGAAGGAATGGTTGACTACATCTCCCCTTTTTATAACCCGATAAATGGTAGACCGACTGATTTTTGTCAGGATACAAATTCTGTTTAAAATTTGATTTTTCGAGGAATCTGGATTTTCGTTTTTCAGACAATCATACATATTTAGGATTACTCTTTGGGTCTGTTCCTCTAAATCTTTATGAAAGAATTCTGCCTGCACAGGTTCATCACCCATCTCCTCGTGGCTTGGAGCATTTTCCCAAGGTCTCCAAAGAGCCATATTTAGGACACACAAGAACAATCAACACAACAATTAAATCAACAAGTAAACAGAGTATTCAAAAGTCAAAAACACACAAACTAATAAAATCTATGAAAAAACACGGACAGACTAAAGAAAACACGTTTATTCACCGCTACACGGCACTGGCTAAACTGTTTCAATTTTCAGTAGCCACCTGCACTTGTTCAGAGCTCTGAAATACACGCTTTCTCATTGGCTATGTCCACGCATAGGCGTGCTTTACTCCACGTGGACCGGTAAAACTGCCTTTGATCTCTTATATTTGCTGCGAAATTTGGCGATTTTTGCAGCAACAGAGCGTGTTAAATATAGATATATAAAACGCACCCGGTATTTCACAGTGTTTCAAGTGACTTCAGATAAAGTATACATGACGTCCGATACCACAAACACTACAGCATGCATGTCAACTTTGTTGCAAGT